TAAATCTGTCCTGCAACACAACTATAATCATAGACGCTCCCTGTTCAGGGTGATGAGAAATTCTTTTTTTTTACTATAAACTGTTGCCTTAATCTGGAGGCGCTATTTCAGGGAACATTAGGATTTGAGATATCTATGACTTATTTGGACAGAATTCGACTCTTTCCATCTTCTGTTATTATCCACTGACATTCAAACGCTTTCCTTTTGACTTCATCTTGACACAGTAATCAGAATTTCCGATCCCTAAATAAGAAAGCATTTGTGCTTATTCAGTGTTTTAAACCGATTCTTTCGTTGTCCTCTCAGTTAATGCATTACTAAATTGCATATTCGTAAGAAACTGTTAAATCCTGATTTGGTATATTTAAGCTATTGGACCAAAAATGGTTTGGAAAAGACAGATATTTATTTTTTACTGTTCTTAAGGCAGTATTTACTCTTTACTTAACATTTCATTCAGCTAAAGAAACATTTCTTAATGTTTCGTCCCAGAGCATTAAGATAAATCAGTACATATAGATGAACATAAATTATCATGAATTTTTGTCTCCCAAGCAAAAATGGTTAAATTTCTTGACACAGACGTGCTAGTTCATTTTTTTAAATAACTCATTAATGCGAAATAAACTTTTAAGTATTTTTTTAGCTCTGGTCAGATGGAATGAATGACCTTTGAACTTGAAGTTATTTTAATTTCACATGAGCAATTTTCTCTGTTTGATGCAATTTCAAAATTCATAAACATAGTTTTAAATGAGATAAAACCTATTATCTTATAATTAAAACTCTAGATATTAATGTATAAAGAGATTACGTATCTAGCAAGAGATGAACATTTTACGTACGGGAAGTTAACGGTGCTGCACCACCATTTCTTTTTATAATAAGTTCAGAAAATAAGTGCAATGTTTAAAAAAAAAAAAAAAAAAAAAAAAAAAAAAAAAAAAAGAATTTTCATCTGCTATACATCCACTATTCTTCGAAATTAGGTTTAGACGGTATGTTTAACATAAAATACGGATGACTACTTGCACTTGAAAGGTTTACTAAACTCAAAATATATGTGTGTATCTTGTGTTGCAGTTTAGTAAAATTGCAGTTTAGTGAGGGGTGTATTTTTTTTGCGCTTAGTAGCGGATAGAAATTTGGATATGTTATTTCCGGTTGAGTATTATAATCTTATTCTTTCAAAGCTATTTTGGTCCACATGAAGAGTTTTTCTTTTGATTTAAGTAAAGGATGGCTAACCGTTTTCGATTAGTGTGCCAGTTAAATTACAATTCATTATTTCCAAGTGTCCAGTGTGCCACATTTCTTTTTAAAAACATATTTACCCCTTCTTTGATTTCAAACTATCAAATTATATTTTGTAATTATATTTGCTGTATAGTTATTAACCTGCATCAGATGCAAATTGAATAAACAGTATTTAAAAAATATTTCACTTTAATATTAATATGTAAAGTGTCCTAAAGCGGACATCCTTTATTGTAAGTGTAAAAATAAAATATGTGTAATTAATGTTTGATGTTTTTAATTTTTTATAATATGAACATTTAGATTTATCAATACAATTCAAAAAATTCAAAATATATTATTAATTGCCTTTATTTTTTCACTTAAAAAATGGTAACTTCTTTAAGACATTTCAATTAATATATACTTTTTAAATTTCAAAATACGTTCATTTAATATTATAAACAAATCTGTAAGATCCAGCCGTGTCCGGTGCCGTAATTAATAGACTCAGATTTATCTTTTAATTTATTCACACCATCTCAACGTAAAATAATACACTTTGTACAAATAGAAATATATAAGATAATAGGATTGTTAAATTTATAAAATTACCACACTGAGCATACTGAGCATTCGGCCTCTCCCACCGAAAGCCAGTCTCCAACTTACCCTTTTTCTGCCTAGAGGTCGTTACCTATTTTCAGGGTTACAGTTTCGGAGGACCAGACACTACACCTTCCCCCTAAAATTGTGGTTGGGCAGGATGTCCAAACACATTCTGATAACAAAGCCTGGTGCTCACAATTCAACATTATAACTACTAATCAACTAAAAGAAAATATAAAATATTACAACATTTGCATAACAAAAGAGTTGTTTCTTACAAGTATACATTTTAAAGAAAAGCTTCTAAATGGTTAAGAATGCTACACTTAAATCACCTAATTGCTGTAAGTAACTAATTTCAATAACTTTACAAATATTACTTAGTAAAGATATATCTTGTAATAAGTTTTAAAGAAAATAAGGAAATTAAAAATTAATTTAAAGATCAAAATTAAATGAATTGTCCATAAATGTTTTGGTCCATAAAAGAAATAAATAAAAAGGATATTCATCCTTCTATCAGTCTGGATAAAGCATCTGCATTACCAATTTTGACTCCTGGTAGATGCTTCATGTCTATTTCGTATTTTGGCAAAGCAAAAGCCCGACGTTGTAATCTAGATGATTGCGGTGCACATTTTGTCAGGTAAGGTAAAGGATTATGGTCGGTGTAAAGTTCAACTTTGGATCTAAAAATCCAGGTTTCAAATTTTTTCAAACTCCACACAATAGCATATGCTTCTCTTTCTATAGTAGACCACGATTGCTGAGCTTGAGTTAACTTCTGACTTGCATAGGCTATGGGAAAATTGCGTTCATTGAAATTTTGTGACAAACATGCTGCGACTCCTATTTGTGAGGCATCACAATGTATAATGAACGGTTGCTCCAAAACTGGTGTATACAACGATGGAGCTTTAATCAAAGCATTTTTGAGTTTCTTGAAAGCAATGTCGTGCTCTTCTTTCCAGGGTATTTCCTCGGGTATCTTCTTCGTAAGTGTATATACTAATTCAGAATATTTTGGAATATATTCTCTATAATAGTTACATAGGCCTAATAAACTTCTGAGTTGCTTCTTGGTCTTCGGTTTTGATAATCTGGAAATTGCTTCTATCTTTCTCAGGATCGGTCTTGATGTTTTCCAGATCCGATTACATGAACCCAAATATTTGATTTGCAGTTTGGCAAAATCACATTTGCTGATATTGACTGTAAAGCGAAGCTCTTCCTACTTAGTGAGTATCATATCCAAATGAATCATATGAGATTTCCAGTCCTTTGAAAATATTGCGATGTCATCAATATATGCTCTGGCAAAGTCTTTGTATTCATAGAGTGCTTTATTGATTTCCCTTTGAAAGGTTGCTGCAGCGTTTTTCAGACCAAAACTCATAACTTTAAATCTGTACTGTTGTCGATGGGTTTTAAACGAAGTGTAATCACGACTTTCAGGATCCACAGGAATACCCCAATAACCTCGTAGTAAATCCAGTGTTGATATTATATTAGCTTGTCCCATTGAATGTATAAGTTCTGAAGCATTTTGCATAGGAAAATCATCAGTAATTGTGACAGAATTCAATGCACGATAATCAACAAAACAAGTCGAATTCCCCCGTCTTTCTTGTTCACACACACTATAGGATATGCAATTTCTGCACTGCTTTCTTCTATTAAATCAAGTTCTAACAGCTCTTCAGTTTGTTCATCAACTTTGGATTTTAAAGTTTCCGGAATCCGGTAGATATGTGGCTTTTTCCTTTCTTCATTGGGTTTTAATTTTATTTTGTGAAAACCCACTTTTTCAATTTTAACTTTACCTGTAAATAACGATTCGTGCTTTCTTATGAGTTGTTGAATTTGCTGCTGTTGGTCACCCGTTAAATGTTCAAGTTGAAATTTTTGGAGAACAATTTCCATATCTTGAGAAGAAGATTGCGGAGTTCGATGAATCTCCCCAAATTCTTCCTCATTTTCGAAAATAACTCCCACAGCATTTACTCTAGCTATATACTTTCTGATTTTATTCACGTGAACATATCTTACTTTCCCATCGGAGAGTTTGACTTTATATGAATGAGGTGGACAGTACTTTATAATCTTCCCTGGACCAGTCCATCTTGCATAAAGTTTATTAGAGGAATCAGGAATAAGCAAATAAACTTTATCTCCTACTTCGAATTCTTTTGGTATAGCTCAACAATTAAAGTAATTCGAATAAGCTGCCTGTTTCTCGGATGCTATCAAGGATGCTTGATCAGCTGCTCGTTCTAAGTTTATTTTTATTTCTTGTAAATAATCAACAACAGATTGCTTCGTATTTAAGGGTATCGATATTTTACCACTCCAACTAGATTTCAGAACACTCAGTGGACCACGTACCTCTCGACCATACATTAACTTGAACGGAGAAACCCCTGTAGTATAATTGGGAACCTCGCGATAAGAAAAGAGCAAATATGGTAGATACTTATCCCAATTAGATGGATACATACGGATGATGCGATGTACAGCATTTTTCAAAACTCGGTTGTACGTCTCGACAAGTCCATTACTAGCTGGATATCCTGGAACTGAAAATCTAGGACGACATCCAAGACGCTTCATAAATTCTTGTGTCAGTTGAGAAATAAAGTTAGTTCCTTGGTCACTTGCTATAATTTTCGGAATACCAGTTCTTGTAAATATTTCCAACAGAGCATCACAAGCAGCTTTTGCCGTTAAAGAACGTAATGGAATGGCTTCTGGCCAACGTGAATGTTGATCCATTAAACATAAAACATATTTATGTTTTCTAGCCGAAGGAGTTTCTATAGGACCTATAATATCGATATTAACAACTTCGAATGGTAAATAAGGTCTTAGAACTGGTGGTAATAGGAATTCTATCAGTTATTTTTTCGGTACTTCTTAACTGACATGGTTCGCAAGATATACAATTTTCAGTAATATTATTAGTCATATTGGGCCAGTAGAAAATATATCTGATTCTCTCTTTTGCTTTTCTTATTCCCATGTGAGCCTCGAAAATCCGATTCATGCGCTAGATTTTAAAAATCTTTGTCTTCGTAACTCTTTGGCAACACACTAACTGCTGAACTGAAGCAATAACATCTCAGCAGCCTACCAAAGCTATGTTACTTCCTAATATGTCTGAAGATAGAAACACTATCTCACAAGAGATCCTACCGACAAATATCGACAACCCAGTCAACCTGATTCTAATTCATTCCTCAGCAGGCTCCATAAAGTGCACGCAAATTAACCTCCAGCGGGCAGAAGCAGCTAATACGCAACTAGTGCAGCATGTCCTCGATCATGAGATAGATATCATCCTTCTCCAACAGCCTTACTGCAGAAACGGCGCAATAGCCTGTCTACCACTTTCATGGAAGATGTTCCAGCGGAAAGCGCAACTTAACGAACTACCCCCGAGAGCGGCGATCATTTGTTGTAATCCACAATGGTCTCCACTCATTATCAAGCAGGCACGAGATCATGATGCAATTCTCCTGAATTATAATATCTCCCAGATTATCCTATCATCCATCTACAGCCCTCCACCAGAAGACATCAGCAATGCAGTAGATAGTATAGCAGAAATACACAGAGAACATACTACCATTCCTCACGTAATAAGTGGAGACCTAAATGCGCACAACGTCATTTGGGGATACCCAGATACCTCACCGAAAGGAACTGCGTTAGAAGAATTTATAATGACAGCCAATCTACAGTTAATAAATACTCAGAATGTCCCATCGACGTTCGACAAGTCATACAACAAAGGATGGCCTGATTTAAGAATAGCTACAAGTAACATAGCCAACAATATAACAGATTGGATGGTCACAGACGACGAGAGTTGCTCTGATCATAAATATATCCACTTCGCAATTAATACCGACACAAGCATCACTATCCTTAAGCGCTACAAGATCCCAGGCAAAAAACTGCATGCATTAACAAAGGCTTTCTCGGATACCCTACAGAGTGAAGAAGAAGTAATAGACCAAATAAATAGCCCAGAGGAATTAGACATTTATACAGATCATCTCCTCAATACATTGCGATGTATTTGCGACAAGCTCCTGAAGACTAGCACTGCTAAACGCATACAAGGCATATGCTGGGGGACTAAGGAACTACGCCAATTACGGCAAAAGTGCAGAGCCCTACGACGGCGTCTCCGAGGTGTAATGGACGAAGCCACCAAAATGGCATTGCTGACCACATTCCGCAGGGAAAGAGCGCATTATAAAAAATGTATACTACGAGCCAAAGTCAATAGCTGGCGGAAATTTTGCACAGCTAATACCAACGTCTATGGAATCCTGCATAAACTAGCTACAAATAAAGTTTACAAGCCTGACCAGCTTTATGCCCAACCAGCCAATAACTCAGACACCACCAATCTTGCAGAAACCACAGCATCTGCTATCCTTAATGCAGTCTTCCCAGCAGATAACTCGGATGATGACTCAACAGAACAACAGAAGATACGGGACAACCATTCCATTCCTAACACACCAGACGACATTCCCTTCGACTCTGCTGAAATACAGCAAATCTTACGTCTTCTTCCAATAAAAAAAGGCTTCGGGACCAGACGGTCTAGACTATGCAATAATAAAGGTGGCTTACACATCCCGCCCTACCTTCTTCGAGAAATATTTCAGCAAGCTCTTAAAATACCAGATCTTCCCAACTGCTTTCGAAAAAGGAGAAGTGGTCCTGTTCCTGAAGAAGCAGAGATCTCCAGATGACCCAAGCTCGTTTCGGCCAATTTGCCTACTTTCGTCTCTGGGAAAAATTTATGAAAAATTACTGGTAAACAGACTTAAATTCCATCTCCAGCAGACCAACTTTCTCAACCCACGGCAATACGGGTTTCGAACTGACTTGTCAACCACGCATGCCCTGAGTCATCTTAAAGACAGCATAGAACAAAATAGAGGCAGAAATCTTCACACGGCATTCATATCCGTGGACCTACAAAGCGCCTTTGACACCCTCTGGTGGCCTGCTATTAAGCAAGCACTTAGAGAGGAACAATGTCCCCAAAACATCTTTAACATCATCACGGACTATCTACATACACGTAGCCTCATAGTAGCCAACAACAAAGGCCTCACTATCAAGCGGCAGGAAAGAGGGTGTCCACAAGGCTCTTGCGCCGGTCCGTTGCTTTGGATAATCACCTTTAACTCCATACTACAACATGAATGGCCTTTGCACACAGATATCATAGCGTACGCCGACGATGTAGCCCTTCTGGTGTCTGGCTGCACAAGAGATGAACTGGAACGGAATGCCACAGAAACCTGCTCGATATTCACGGATCTATGCAATAAACTTAAGTTAACCATCTCTCGACAAAAGTCCGAAGCCATCGTAATTCCACGTCCTGGCACAAATCCCACAAGACGTCCATGTATAAAGCTACTGGGCAAGAACTTAAAAATAACGAAGACGATTAAATATCTAGAAGTCACTTGGGATCAAAGACTCACCTCGTTACCGCCCCTCCAAGAAATACGTACAAAAACATCGACCATCGCAAGTAAAGTTAGGCAATTTCAAGAGAGAAATTGGGGACAAAACCCCCATATCAGGAAACTATTATATCTGACAGTGGCAGAGAGAATAATTCTCTACGCAGCAGTCATATGGGCACAACCAATGAGCAGCCGAAAGACCAAGCTACTGACCACAATTCAACGGCCGTTTGCATTAAACATCTGCGGAGGTTATCGCACAACAGCGTCCAGCGCCCCCACGGTACTTGCAGGCCTGCTGCTATTACACATAAAGGCAGAGGCAGAGGCTACCTATGTACGAAATATCCATCACAGACAAGAAGCATCATATGCAGGAATTAAGTTCAGAACAACAGACTATGAACTCCCTGGCGGTGTGCAACACATCCACCCTGCCATCAAAGGTAGAGGGATCCATGTCAAAATCCAACATCAGCAATCGCACTCCAGACAACACACTTCCTCTGCGATTACACAACTGTTCACTGATGGATCAAAACATGATCAGGGAGTGGGCTGCGCGTTTGCTCACTACGAACATGGCACACTAGTAAAGGAATGGAAAGGACATCTCACTAACAGCAATAGTATCTTCCAAGCAGAGGCACTAGCAATATTGAATGCGCTACGACATGCCCTCAACCTTTCCCTTACCAATGCGACTTTCTTCACGGACAGCATGTCAGTGCTACACGCACTCAGGGATCATCACCACACTTCACCCATCATCATAGATATACAGCAACTTTTACGCAATAATCATCAAGCCCGCTTTAACATGGTATGGGTGAAAGGACACTCCGACAACGAAGGGAATGACGTCGCAGACCGACTGGCTAATGAGGCTGCCAACAACATCCACGCTCAAACTATAAGAGCCCCTACCCCCGTCTCCCACCTCAAGAAAACTCTGCGTAATATCTGTAAAGAAACGTAGTAAGAAGAATGCAATAGTAGAAGGACGTATAACTTCCTACCAAAGGTAGACACGGAACGTCTTATAACAATAGCTCCACTGACACAGTACATAACGGGTCATGGCCCATTTCCATTTTATTATATGTGTCATAGCATCTCAACATCTGACAATTGTGTCTGTGGCATGCTAGGTTCTCCCGAGCACTACCTATTTGACTGCGGTCTAACAACAAACCACCACTTACCACATCCAACGAATGATAGAACACTTTACTATCGTTTCATAATCAAACATCGCCAGCTATAAGGAGTATCTGCGCAGTTGTACAGCAAATCAACGCCCTAGGGCAAGACATTTGCGAGCCACAATAGCATGGTACTGCAGACAATGTACTCAATGATTAGGTATTCGCAGTATGTACACATTCTGTAAGCGCCACATTCAATTTCGAGCCTCATGTAATCATCTGCTTTCAATAGCCAGCAACGTGCAGAAATAATGTTACTGATATGTTTATCTGTGTAAAGCACTGACACCCAATGGAATGATGTGTTATCGTAAATCGAAATATATAATATCCGTACAATGCACGAATGTAGTGTATGCAACGAAATATGTAAATCATGCAACAGAAGCCCCTAATGAATGTATGTACATTATGTATTATGGGTACTGAGCATATTTCCGCACAGCGCTTCTGCTTTACACACTTTACTATGTCTCATATGTTTCTTCTGTGTGCAGGTATTTGCATTTATGTGCTCTACGTGTTTCCACATGTATTCTATATGTCATGATATGTATTCTCGTGTGTGTTTTTATGTCTTTATGTTACGTAATTACGAGTGTGTTTTTATGCATTTACGTTTACTTTTGTATATCTATGTGTTTCAGCTTATATGTGTGTTTTAGTGTTTTAATGCTATTCTTTATATTCTTTTTAAATTACTTTGTGTTATTAACAACGTCCTATGTAAAATCTACTTGACATCTAGCCCCTGTATGGCCATGTAAACTCCCGGTGCAGCCTTACGAGGCTCCAGCGAGTTGCTTCTTCGAGATAGTGGAGGACGTGGGACATATGCCTGTTTACCTATGTTATACGCCAGGCGTCCTCGTCCTCCGTCACCTGTCACCTGTATGGGTAATAAACAATCTACGTTCGAGCGATCTGTTACCGCCGCCAAAATGTCTACCGGGTAGCTTAATAAATCAGAATCCTCATCTTTCAGTGACATAAATAATTTATTAATTTCGCTTCTATTTCTTCGCCAAATGCAGATATTAACTTCATTTTCCATTCTCTTGAACGGTTGGCGGTACAATATTACTGTTTACTACTGGAATTTGTGTACCTGAATTGATAATAGCATCAATTTCTTTATTTTCAACTAATATTTTCACATATTGCAAAGGCTGAACTTCGACTTGTTTCTTCTCGAGGTATTCTATATTAATCTGGGCCACAACCGCGTCTCTTTTCTGTGATTTATTACTTTCGGAAATAGTTTTATTTTGATTTTCGCGTTTAAATTTCTTCTGACAGTCTTTAGCTATATGTTGGAAAGATCCACAAATATAACAATCCTTTTTAAATTTAGTAATTTTGGGCAAACCATCCGGTTTTTGCATAGGAGGGGGTACATAGCGAGTACTTTTGATTTCAATTCTCGGTGTTTTCTGAGAACAGCTATATTTAAAGCGATATCATTTAAAGATTTTCTTTTACAAGCGAAGAACGTGTCACATTCCCTTCCGATTTCCGCAGGTTTTAACCAAGTATCTCCTTGTTTTACATTTATATGCATGGCTGTCTCGTGATCAAGAGTTTGCATTAATTTATCGGCTACAATTAATTCATTAACTGTATTTAATTCATTCGCATTCCTTAAGGTGCAATAGTATTTCCACTGTGTCATTAACCGGGCTGCAAATTGTGCATGTGTTTTCCCTGACTGACGTTTAGCCTTTCGAAACATATCCAAACATGCTTGAGCAGTTGGCTGATATCTTTTAAGATTTTATTGTTAAACTGCTTCGTAATTTTTAACATCATCTTCACTAACATAAATTAAAGCAGTTTGTTGCATTTTCACCTAAACGATTTATCAAAATTTCGGCTTTGTATTCTTCTGGTACATTTTTAATCTTAAATGCTCTTTCTAGCGAAGAGAAATAAAGTGTCCATGATTCCGGACGAGTCTGAACTGATATCGTTAAAGTTTTTATGCTTTTAATTAAATTTTCTAACGATGTGTTATCCGAAAGATTAAAATTAGATGAAGCTCTAAGTTTTGCGATTTCTAAATCGTTTTCTTTTTCTAATTTAAACTTTTCTATTTCTTCAGCTGCTTTCCTATCATCAATTATGGATATTAGCATAGATTTAACGAATTCAGGATCAGTTTTGTAATCATTACTGTTAGTAATTTTATATTTCAGTTCTGTGAGTTTAAGATTTTCATCAGCATCCTGACCTAGTTCTTTTGCCAATAAAAAATAAATCTTGCTTCTTGAGACTTTTAACCGAGAACATTTTGCGACT